AAAAGCAAGAAAGCCTAAACATCAATTAGAAGTGAGTTTAAATTTAGGTATGAAAGCCAAAAGAAATAGAGTTTATCCAGATTTAAATGTAGGAAATGAAGTTAAGATATTCAGGAAAAGGAGACCAAACGAAAAGGAGAGAGTAGGTGTATGGACTAAACAAACCTACAAAATAGCAAAGATTGAAAAGAAGTTAGGACAGGAATATTATTATATTGAAAATTATGACAGGGCATTTTTGAGACACGAGTTATTAAATGTATAAATTTATTTCTTGGAAAAAAGTATTTAAAGAAATAAAAACTATATATATTATAATAGAAATGATGGAAACCGAAACCAATAATTATATCAATAAGAAATGCTACGATTGTTGCCACTTAAAAAAAGAAAACATGGAATTGTATAAATTGAATTTACCTAATGGAATAGTTAATCATATTATCGATTATGCTTTGAGTGAAGAAGATGAATGTAAAATTTGTCAGGAATGGAGAGATAATCAAGAATTAATCAGATGTCATTTAAATCTGAAAAGAAGACATAATAGAAATGTTGAAGACGACATTATAATATTTTTAACTGTGTATGGAAGACCACCTTATAGTTATGTTAGAGCATTTCTCAAAATCAGTAAGAAAAGGTATGAACTGATTGACCACATTTTATGGATGTTGTTACATCGTAGAAGAGAGGGGTCTGATTTAAAAGAAGACATTAAATCATATATTGAAAGCAATAAGTTTAATGTGAAAAATACCGTGAACATGACAAACGTAAGATATTTACACAATTTAATAATCATCAATTAACTTATTTTCCTGAACTTAAATTATAATCATAATATAATAATAACATGTAAAATATTATATGTTATAATTATATTTCAATATGTAATTTTATTTCTTGTAAAAAAGTATTTAAAGAAATAACAACTATATATATTATAATAGAAATGATGGAAACCGAAATCAATAATTATATCAATAAGAAATGCTACGAACGATTGTTGCCACTTCAAAAAGGAAAATATGGAATTATATAAATTGAATTTACCTAATGGAATAGTTAATAATATTATTGATTATTCTTTGGACGAAGAAAATATATGTAGAACTTGTAGAAGATGGAGACGATATCAAAATATAATAGAAAATTGTTTGGCGTTTAAAAATATAGATGCAAGAAATGTTGAAGATCAAATATTGATATTTTTAACTGTGTATGAAAGACCACCTTACGATTATGTTAAACTGTTTCTTAAAATCAGTAAGAAAAAGTGTGAAATGATTAATGACATATTATGGATGTTGATTTATTATAGTAAACCCGGCGTTGATGTAAAAAAAGTCATAAAATCACATATTGAAAGTGAACAGTTTAATGTTAAAAATACAGTGAGAGATATTAATCTTATTTTTAAAATGATGTATGAAAGAGGTAAGATATATCAATTAAATTATTATCCTGAACTTAAATTATAATCATAATATAATAATAACATGTAAAATATTATATGTTATAATTATATTTCAATATTTAATTTTATTTCTTGTAAAAAAGTATTTAAAGAAATACACACTATACATTATAATAGAAATGGAACTTAACAATTTACCATTAGAAATTAGATTGAATATTATGTCATATAACTGTTGTGATATATGTCCTTACAGGTATAACGATATCATTAAACACCCTTTTCCAACTTGGGAAAAGGTAAAAAGAAATCCATTCTGGATAATGTCTTTGACTGAATATTTAGATGGTAAAAAATATGATTATGAAATATACTTAGAATTAAAAACATTTTACGATTATTCTTACATATTTAATATTGAATATAAGTTTAAGCATCTATGGTTTATTAATAATATTGATGATATGAACATTAATGGTAGAAAAATACTGACAAGTCAATATTTTGACGCTATGAGAGCACGTTTATCAATGATGCCATTTAGAACAGAAGCAGAATGGCATATCCGGTTTTATCATATATTAGGCACTGAAGACTTCTACAAAAGCGAAGAAGAAGTTAGCGATAATGAAAGTGTTGGTAGCTATTATTAATTTCATAACCATACTATGATTATAACATTTATACCCTTATATGTTATAATTATAATGTCAGTATAGCGTTTTATATATTGAAGATAAAATCCTACAAGGAGGACCACGCCCAAAAAAAATATGATGAAACTGATGAAACGAAGGAGGGAGTGATGTTGTTGCTGTTCTATTTTTTGTCCGGGAAATGGACAAATCGTTTTTAGACAGTTCGATTTTTTGTTTGATGACAAATATTTTTTGCAATATATTTTGCAAAATTTATTTTTTTGAAATGGATGAGGCGAGGAGATTGAGGAAATGACATTTTGGAGGGTAGTTGGTGAAATGAATGAGGCGAGGAGAAAGGAGAAAAGGATGGCGAAAATTTTGGAAAAATGATGATAAAAAAACGGATGAGATGGACAGAAAGGAATGTAGAAAGATGATGAAAACAAATAAGGGTAGAAGATGGAAGATGAAAAAAAATGTAGGGTGGGGGGTATGTATGAAGCAATTTATTTGCGGGGCAAGGCCCCCGACTACTGAAAGGCGCCGCCGTCTGCGCTTTAAAAGAAGCCGCGTGACTTTCCCTGAGCTTTTCTCTTGGTAGTTTCAAGGAAAAGCCAGAAGGCACACCACCGTGTGCTTGTGTGTTTGTTTGTGTGTTTGTGTTTGTTTGTTTGTTTGCTTGCTTGCTTGCTTGCTTGCTTGCTTGCTTGCTTGTTTGTTGCTTTTGATGTTGCGCGGGGGGGTTCACCTAAAACAATTGATACATCCATATCTTGCATTGATATGCGTACCCTCCCGACCACTAGCATGGACGATCTTCCTTTGCAAGGGACCCTCATGGGGGGGACCGGAGGGCAACCTTGAAAACATATAAGTCAGTAGTCGAGTTGCTGGGGTTGGATCTTTGTGGTTTGGAATCCAAACCATTCACTCAGCGATACCTGAAGAACAATGCTCTTCCTTTCGGCTGCCCGCCCCCCCCAAAAAAAAAAAAAGAAAGAAAAGAGCTCGGGTGGCATCCTTAGCAGCAAGCCCCGAAACCCTTTCGAACCCGAAAAAACGCCCAGCCGCTCCGAACCACTCCAGAGACCACCTGGGCAAAAACCCTCACGTGTTATAACTTTGAGATGTCGAAGCGACGTGAAAAGAGGTGGATACCGATTCCTACCATTTTGCAAGTAAACCACACACACACCAAAAAAAACATAAAAGAGCAGAAAACACCCAAAAAACAAAACCACACAGACACAGACACAAGCACAAACCCACGCAAACCACAACACCTTACAGCACAGCGGGGTAAATTTCGTGGGGGTCCCTTGTCCCTCGCGACATCCAATTAATAGGAATCAGCATCCGTACCCAGGTCGGTCGGACCTATGGAGAGGCAGCTTTCGCGGAGAACATTCACGGGAAATTCCTTTCAGGCATGTAAAGAATACGTGCTGTGGGTGGACTCATTCCTGCACCACTCGGAAACTATGGGAAACCGTGGTTGGTTGGTATTTGCAGAGAAGTCACCTTTCCAGGGTTTCTGTAGGTGGTGCGAAATGGATTTCGTCCATCCACAGTAGGTCTCTAAAACCTTAAAACGGTTGGACACTTTGGAGTGTGTGTTTGTTTGTTTTTTTGAGAAGCTAAGACTACAACACAAAAAGCGCTTGGACACTTTGGAGGATCTCCAAATCGGAAGCCAGTAGTCCTGTTGCCTTCGCACGAGTGCGTGGGGGGGGACTTGCCTCAAACGCAAAAAGAAAAGCAGACCCCTCCAAATGGAACCGTGGCTCGGATTGATGGTTGGGAGGCTGGGGATGGTTTCCCATTTACCCTCTGTAAGAACCAGGGGTTCAAACCCTCAAACCACCAAATTGCCGACTAAGGGTAGCCTAAAAGAAGGACATTTGGGCTCAACCATTTGCTCACTGCTCCGCGGCGGGCGGGGAAAAAGCCGTCGGTTACTCAATGGCTCACCCCGCAAAATCCGGCCAGAGAAATGTTAGACGCTTCTACCATTTTGTGGTTTAAATCTTGTTGAGCTGGCAGTTGGCGATCCATCTAGTCTGCCCGAGGAATTTGGGGGGGGGGGGGGGGAACCACCCCGGCATACAATCGCATTGTTGATGTTGAAAGCGTGACTGATATTACAGGGAACACCTGGAGGGGGTTCATCTGCCAGGTTGATTCATCTGGGGGTTGGTGTAATTTCTACTTCTGGGTGTCTGGGACCCTGCCCCCATGGATGTGGACGCCGTAAAACCAAAGGATGGGACGTGGTGCAAGAAGCTGTCCACAGCCAGGCAAAAGGGAGCATCTCTTTTCTGGCAGCTAATTTTTGAAAATCGGTTCTCCCGTCTGTCAAAAAGCAAACCGAGAGGAAATGCCCGAATCGAAACTCCGGATGAATCAGCCCCAGTTGATGAATGGGGGGGGGGTCCGCTCTGAAAACGAGTGCTTGATCCCCCACAAAAACTGAGGGCTGCCAACCAAAATGTTTGCGCGCTTCGCAAGATAGGGACCTGCAAAAAGGTGGCTTTCCTCTGGGTTTCCTTTAGGAACTAAGGAGAAAGGCGGGTATTCCCCACAAACACGCACACCTTCAAATAAACAGGCCTCCATTTGCTTAACTCCCCCGGAAAGAACAAAGCATGGTCCAGTAACTGAAATCGTTTCCCTAACGAACATAACAGGGGAAAAGCTTACAAAAATATGTCCGGGGATAGATTCCCTCAAAACCAACAAGAGAAAAAATGAAACCAATACTAAGCAAATGGAAGCAGTCCAGTGATAGATTCCCTCTTAACACCGACAAGATAAAATAAACATATATCAAGCGAACGGGCAATCGATTCCCTAAAAAAACCAACAATGGAGAATAAAAAAAAATAAGCACATGGCAGCAGGGGCTCGCTCTCTTCTTGCGGGTTGCTTTTTGGCCGCACCTTTTGGCCCGCAGCGCCGCAGCAGGCGTCTGCTTCCGCCGGATCGCACGCCGCCCAGGAGGGAGGGGCTTGGTCGCGGCAGCAGGCCACGTAGAGCGAGAGGCTGCGGAAGCAGCCCATGGCTTCCGTCTCTTTGGCCGGCGGATGTGTCTGAAAAAGTTGGGCCCCCCGGAAAATGGGCTCATCTCATCTTAGGAGTCGGACATTTTTCGGTTTCCCTTTTGGAGATGCCAAGAAAACAAAAGGACAACAGCAGCCAACGGCTTCATCTTGCCCATGGCTTTCCTCAAACAAACACACCCGCCGCTCGGCCGCCAGGGGAACGGGGCGCCATGGCGCTGGTCGTGGCTGAAACGGCTGCTTCGTCAGGTCCTGGTTTAGACCATGTTCCTTCAATAAAAACCCTGTCATCTTGCTGGACGTTGGAAGGGGAGCAAAAATATATACATATTTAGCAGTTAAGTGGGGAGTTGCCACTAAACCACAACCAGCAAAAACGTAAAATGTTTCCCAACAACAACCATCTCATAGGTGTCATGCTAGCCTGGAGGGTCTAACCTGCCTAGGAGCTAAATAATTGCACATGTTCTTCCCCGTTTTAATTTGGTGCCGGAGGTACACGGCAACCCCAACAGTGCGATTGCCTTTTGGCCGCCCTTTTGGTCGCACCCCGAACCTTTGACACGTCGCCGGAAGTCCAGGCTGCTTGATTGCCTGAACTTGCTCTGGCAAGCAACTTGGGCCCATAGGTGGCCTTTTGGAAAATAGACGGCCCTGGTAAATGGAACAAACCCCATCTAAACCAGGAATCGCCCTCTATGTTTTACTTACCCCTTAAAACTCCAAGCCCTGGCGAAGTTAATCTTTTACAGACATATAGCCCATGTTACCCAAAAAGTTGAAAAGTTGTGTTGCTAAGAGGCAAGTTTAAGCAAACCAACCAAAAAGGACACCTATGCGACTCGGCCCCTAGCGCAAGAACGCAACTTTTCTTCGCAACGCACGGCTTCCTTCGCGTGGCTCCTTTGGCGGCCCCCGCTTTGGCACACCCGCCGCGAGAGGCGGTGCCAAAGCAGAGCAGGCCGCTGGCCAAGACTAAGACCGCCCATCCCCAAACAAAACAAGCAAGCAAGCAAGCAAACAAACAAACAAACAAACAAACAAAACAAACACATTATGCAAAATATAAATATATATATATATACATAAATATATATATATATATGTACGTGCGCGTGTCACCCTAGAGAAGGGCACTGCTTTCCCCACCCCACCAGGCGCTCGCGTCGCTGGCGCTCGCTCAGCGCCCGGCGAAGAAGTTCAGCAGCCGCCCCGCGCCCCTGTCCTGGCCCTGGCGCGCCCGCTGGGCCTCCTGGCGCCGTCGTCAGGTCGCATCGGATCGCTCCGGCGTCAACCCCGCCCCCCCCCTCCGAGCGACCAGGCTCCCCGTTTAGAGCAAAAAACACAACAGGGAGGGTGGTTCAGATGGGGGGCTCGGAGCGCCAACGGCGAAGCTTGGGACTCTTCTTGGCCGAGGCCAAAAGGCCAGTGGGCCCCATACGCCCGGAAAGCCTTCCTTCAGACTCGACCCTTCAAGAGCTTGGGTAGGCTCGGGTGTTTCAGAACATGGGTCTGGGTGGCTTGTCTTTTTTGGGAGGACCCTGCAAATAGTGGGTTTTCCTATTGGTCGAAGGGCCCAAAAGCCCCCTTAGAGAAACCAGAGGCATGCACAGGGGGCAAAAAACCATCGCCCCCCACCCCCGGAGTTCCTCGTGGAGGTTCATCTGCTGGTAGTAGAGCGCCTGCTGCTCCCCGCTCTTCACCTCGAGATCCGGAGAGTCCAGCAGAGGGATTCGGATCGGAAGTGGAACCCCACTTCCGGCGGAGCGTCGATCCAGGTCGCTGGGGAACTAATCCCAATAGAACTGGGTGGATTCGTACTGTGGATGGACAAAATCCATTTCGCACCACTTGGAAACCATGGTTGAAACCATTTTTGTTGGTATTCACAGGGGAATCATCCTTCTAGGGTTTCTTGTGTGGTGCCTAAGAGGATTTCGTCCATCCACAGTAGGAAATGGGCAGTGGATGTCAACCCCCCGGATTGAAGTCGAACACCCCGGCCTTGGATGCGGATGTCACCCAAGACTGATCTGGATCCCTTCTTAAACTGGACCCAAGATCAAAACAGCCTGGGGCTTGCTAAATAACATGTGAAGACTTCCCACTAAGATGTCCGCAGAGTCCAGCAGAGGGATCGGATCAGAAGTGGACCCCACTTCCGGCGGAGCGTCGATCCAGGTCGCTGGGGAACTAATCCAATTATTCAATAGAACTGGGTGGATTCGTAGGAAATGGGCAGTGGATGTCAGTCAACCCCCGGATTGAAGTAGAAAACTTTGGTCTCGTAGGATGCAAGTCACCCGGACACAAAATCAAAACAACCTGGGGCTTACTAAATAACATGACCCACGGAAGTGCACATATTAACCAGCGCATGTGAAGACTTCCCGAACAGTCATCCCACATCGAAGACTCACTGAGATGAATAGTTTATTGTCCGGCGTTTTGAAGTGGAAAGAGACCCTTTACTGGACATCGAACGCCCCTCCCCGCTCCCCTTCAATGAGGATCTCCCAACAACTCTGGCTCAAACATGTCCCAGCGGCAAGCAGCTATGTTCCCACGTCATCTACCCCCGTCTCTCCCCCGTCAACTTGTTTAGCTCACAACCCCCCCCTCAAAAAAAAGAAGAAGAAGAAGAAAGGGGAAAAAAACACTTGCGTGCTTTGATTGCCTTCCTGACTTCCCTTCCAGTGGTTCCTGGGCAAAAAGGTAACTCCAAAGCAACACCCCGCCAACCTCGCCTTAGGCACCAAGGCCAGCGCGAAGTCGTTTCGCCCGGCCTTCCTCAGAGCAAATCCGGTCGGCCCCCCTTAGCCTGAGAACGGGGAACCGAAGGAAGAAATTCCTTTAGCCCCCCCCCCCCACTATATAAAACAACCAAGACGGGTCCCAGGTCCTCCAGTAGAGAGGTTGGAACAAGGGTACCCCTTTTTCTGTAGTCCATAATAGTAGGGGAACCCGCCCCTACTAAAAATGGTAAAAGGGCACTGGGGGACCAAGTGTCTCAGCTTCCGTCTAATTGCCGCTTTGGATTGGTGTGGGTTTCCCATTTACTCTCCACAAAAGCCAGGGGTTCGAACCCCCAAACCACCAATCCAAACCACCAACTTAGGGTTACCTGAGTGTCTTCGATGGAAAGGATCCACCACGTTAACTTGACAATTTAGCCAACTGCAAGTGGAACATGTAGAAATGCGCCACATCCCCACCTGGACCTTCCCCACACCACGATTGCCGGTGTCAAACCTATGGCTTTTCCGAGAAAGAGAGAAAACCACGGGTGGATGTCCTGCCAAGGGTTCCGTTTGAAGCCCTGGCTGCTCCGAGAAAGGAGGAAAAC